ATATGTATACGCAGCTCAAATTGCATTGAAAATGTCACCTCAGGTTGCCGAACGTTTGTCATGATAATCACGCACACTACAACAATGTAGTTCGTACTTCTCAAAACGAACATCGATGTGTCGGCTAGTGCCGTGTCTTGATTAGATGTTCCTGGCCTCCGGTTAGACGTCAGATGATTATGGAAGCTAGTGCTCTGGATATTATATTGACCAAACTGAAGGTTATATATACATATATATATCCAAGGCACCAAGTTAGCCTATCTTAGAAAATAATGGACAAGAATTAATTTCCTAGTTTGGAGTGTACTAGTTACACAGAGCAGCTTATTTATCATCGACACCCCCAAATGCCCTGGTATGGCCGAGAGTGGGGAGAGTCCTCTCTCCCTCCCCAAACGCTCTTACATGGCCACGCGTATACAGCCTCTACCAGGGAAGTTCTACTCACTACCTTCTCGTGGCGGGGGTGTTGTTTACGAAAATGAGAGAACGAGAAGCGAATGTCCGGCGCTTCAACCGGATCTGAAGCCAATAATGCACACGGGCTCCTGTATCCTGCGGAGACAAATGGCGTATGAAACAATCGTTGGTCACCGGCTACCATGGAACTGCATTTCCCTACGACGCTCTACTGCCTTGTGGATCAGACCTTTAGGTCAAAGGCTCGGGGTGTGGCCCCCTAAGAAAACTAACTGCTTCGGTCAGGGCACCCGGGCAGTATCACAGCCCTAAAACACATCAAATGAGAACTGTGTCGCATAAGTATTTGGTGCATATGTGTTAAAGTAAATAAAAAACCGAATTTGTACATTAGTTTTCTTAAGCTCCCTGGGTACTACAGGGCTTCTAGACATGATTTTAAAGTTAAGAGAAAACACACAAGCAGTCAAGTGAATGAACAAACCAAGGCAAGAAAGTCATTATATGAATTTTAAGAAATAAATTATAGGTATTTGTATCACATGGAGGGCATACAACTGGCGAATGTTATAGATATCAGTAAACTGAAACGAATTCCAGGATAGATAACCGTGCATCTTACCGAACTGCATACGTCAAGTTTATAAATCATAACAATCCACAACTGGTTTATATGACCCTAAGATGTGATGAGGTTTTCCTGTGATCAGACTCAAACGCCTTAAAATAATGGTCTGGAAATTACAGACTATTCTAACGTACGAGTAGGGAAGTAACTTACCACTGCAACCGACTTCCTCATGTCTATCTTCAAAAAGTTTGAAAAGGTAATTCATGATTTATGGACGAAATGATGAAATCATGAACAGAGACAAAGGTTTCGGTGCGAGAATTATTTATACATACGAATAAACAGTATTTCGATAATAAATTCGGCGTTTGTTTGTGGTGTAAAATCTTAATTTAAGTCCTAATTCCTAATCTCAGAAAAGCCATAGATAATAGATAAATGAAATGGAGATACTCTACACGATTTTTTATCGTTACCCTCACTTTTTTTAATCATACAAACCATGAAGTCATATTGCGTCCAAAAATCACTTACATGAACACACAGTTAATGTTCGATCTATTTGAAATCTTAAATCATAAACCGAAATTCAAAGTCTCTCCTGATATTTAGTGAAGCAAAACCTTAACTACAAAGTTGCATCAAAAACCCACTAACCTCGAAATATTACGGTTAGGAGCTTACAACTATGACCATGGTCATAGAAAGATAGCTTTAAGCTATCTTTCAAATTATATTAATTATTCCCAGACAACCCAAAAAGGGGAAATGATGGGGCAAAAAGGGGTAAATGCTTTGGTGGCGAAAGAGGAAATAAAGGAGAAAACGCGCCAGAATGTCGCCTTTTCCGCCTGTCCGGGGGAAATAATGCGGAATTTCCACTTTGTCGCCTTTTTGTCGACAAATTACCCACTTATCGCCTAAATATCCGCCGATTTGTCGCTTTTTCGCCTAAATATCCGCCGAATTGTCGCATTTTCGCCTGAATATCCGCCGAATTGTCGCATTTTCGCCTAAATATCCGCCGAATTGTCGCATTATTGTAATTTGAATGACATTTTAACCCCAAATAGGTAATTTTAGTGCTAGAACATACCCCAGACAAAACATCTAATAATGACAGTACGTTAATACTAATTAATTCCTGAATATGAGAACCCTTAAAACCACATGTGGTTTTATAAAACCACTAGTGAACGTACATCATGGTAACGCAAACAAAAAAACCCCCTCCATTCAATTGCTATTTGGCACCAAGTATCCTCTATAATAATGTAGCGGTAAATAAATCCCCAAACTAAATAGCTCTGTAGGTTTTCGACATTGGATGCTGACCATATGTTTTAGTGGACTCATCTAGCTGAAGGCGCTCGGTGATGCATCCGCACCAGATCACGTGTGGTAACGCTGTGCTCAACATCTACCGCAATCGCTAGCCAGATTAGATCAGAGATTCCCGATATATTGGTTATCGCCAAATACACTCTTCCGATCTCGTCGACTCTGTCTTTTGATTTCTCTCGGTGGGAACAAAGTATATTGGGTGTTGCTGGTAAAAGCATTGTTAAAAACTGAATACCTGTGTCATCATCATTGGTGAGACCGACGTGATCTGGTACACTTAATTGCAACTGTGAGTCTGTTCCTTTTTGAGATTTTTTTATATATTGTTGCCTTATTTTTTATATTTTATACGTTGTGATTTTTTTCTTGGATTAATATATATTTTCCCTTCGTTCATTATCGTACTTCGTAATTCATCATGGCTGAACAGACACCCAAAGTACTCAAGCTTAAGACTTTGTCCCCACCTTCGTTTCAACTCATGCCTTTCTGGCCCGACAATATCGAAGCTTGGTTCTGCTACACAGAAGCCGACTTCTCCGAGCACGGTGTGAACAACACACGTGCGCGATTCCTCGCAGTTGTCAAGGCACTACCGCGCGAATTCAACAGGTACGTAACACCTAATATGTTTACTAGTGATGTTTCGGAATTTTACGAAACCTTAAAAAGTTCGATTCTTAAACGAGGAGACCTAACCGATCGACAAAGGTTAGATCAACTCTTTAATAACATAGACCTGCAACACGATTCTGCGACGGACATATTGCAACGAATGAGAGAAGTGATAGGCCTAAGAACTTTCGACGAGGGTCTATTCAAACAACCTTTCTAGTCTAAAATTTCCCAACAGGTGCAAGCGGTTCTGGTCTCGTTTCAGAACAACGCCATAGACAACCTGGCTGTATTTTAGAAATAACGAAATCGTCTATTACAGAGGTATTTTCAGTCAAAGAAAAGCCTCACACGACTCGGAATGACATAACCGAGTTATGTTATACACTCACGCGTTATCTTAATCTTTGTAACGACCGTAATCGCTCACACAGCCCACGTAGAATCATTTCACGTAAGCGATCTGTTTCTAGACCACGATAGACGGATAACCCCGACTGGTGCTGGTATCATAACCAGTATGAAAAGTCTTCCAGAAATTTCAGAAAACCATGCAATTTTCCAAACACGAAAACGACTGACTCGAAAGACAACTCGGGAAACTTCCAAGCCGGCACGCGTTAACGGCAACCGTTGCCAGCGAACATAGCTGTCTGTTGAAGGTCACAGATGTGACAACGAGAGTTCGCTACCTCGTCGACACTGGCGCAGAAGTTAGCGTTCTCCCAGCAAATCATAACGACCGGCTCCACAAATCAACTCTAAACTTACAGGCGGCAAATGGAAAACCGATCGCTACGTATGGCAAAAGGTACGTCTACCATAACGTGGGTTTACGCAAACCCATTCATTGGATTTTCGTTGTTGCAGATGTTTTTATGCCAATCATTGGTATGGATCTTCCACAACTCCATAATTTAATCATCGACACGCGCAAACGGAGGCTAGTAGATGGAGACACCAATTTATCCGTTTACGTAACTTCTTTTTCTGGTTGTAGATTATCCCAAGTCACAGTTAAGCATATGATAGACCCACTCTATCAACCACTACTCGATAAGTATTCTGGGATACAACAAACTCAACCGAAACTACCGTGTGTTACCAGCAACGTTACACATCACATCACGACTACAGGACCACCTGTATTCTCTAAAGCATGACGACTAGCTCCTGAAAAGCTAAGGTTAGCGAAAAACGAATTCGATCACATGATAGACTTAGGAATCATACGACCGTCAAACAGCCCTTATGCATCTCCGTTGCACATGGTCCCTAAAAAGGACAGCAATGATTGGTGTCCAACTGGTGACTATCCGAGATTGAATGCAAAAACCATTCCCGATCGTTACCCGTTGCCACACATTCACGATTTGACAGCTACCTTGAAAGGTACAACTGTCTTTTCGAAAATCGACTTGGTTAAAGCGCATAATCAAATCCCTATGGCTACTGACGACATACCGAAAACAGCTATCATAACTCCTTTCGGACTCTATGAAATTTTGCGAATGCCTTTCGGTCTAAGGAATGCTGCTCAAACATTCCAAAGATTCATAGACGACGTTTTTCGAGGTCTCAACTTCGTACATGCGTATGTTGATGACTGCCTAATCGCAAGTCCGGACAGATAATCACATCTCAAGCATCTGGATCTTGTTTTCGAACGATTACAAAAACATGGCATTACTGTAAACGTTCATAAATGCCAATTCGGAACCGACTCGTTAGATTTCCTAGGACACACTATCGATGCTCAAGGCATTCGACCTCTTAGGACCAAAGTGGCGGCCATTCTGGATTACCCAGAACCGACCAACGTCAAGCAATTACGCACGTTTAACGGCCTGGTAAGTTTCTATAGACGCTTCATACCGAAATGCGCATTACTTATGAAACCTCTTACCGACCAACCTCGTGGAAATGCGAAATCCATTAATTTGGACGACACCGCATGTAAGATCCAAACTACGTTTGGACTGCTGGACAGCTGTCTGGATGAGTTAGATACGCGCCCTCGCCCGATTGAAACCAAAACAAAGTAATTGGGTAAGATAGCGGTTCTATAATTTATCATAAATTTAAGTGTACATTATTACCTAAACAAATATAACCACTCAGCTATCCAACCAATAATTGTTTAATTGATCAACTCTAAACTATAATAAATAAGAACGTTGATAAAGGATGCAAGAAAATTACCAATCACCACAAATAAATGTTATTCTATCCTGTCTGGATAGATCACGTACAGATTCGTTCAAAAGGTAATACTTGGTCGCTCTATAACCCAGAGTGTTTTCAATTCTGGAAGAGTGCTTCAATTCACAACAAAAATGCACAGTCCCAGTCAACGCAGGTCAAGCAATCACAAACAGGAACAAACCAAAATGGCTGCCGCCAAGACTTAGTATAAAGTAAAACAACATAAGTGCAGTTCGGGAAGAAGCATAGGGAATTAGTGAAGGTGTGGTAAAAACGAAAACTATAATAAAATACAAATATTAACAATTCAACTGTAGTCAAAAAGTTAACATTGTACGACTAAAAGAATCAATAGGAACAAAGTGCAAGTATATACATGGAGGGATTTTCACGAACACACAAAGCATTCAAAATGGATCTTACACCGGCCCCCAAAATCCCTCCATATCACACAAGCTACCTTGATGCCTATGGTCATGGTTCATTATGTAGCATATGACACTATAGGAATGAATAGGACTTACAACAGTACGCCTACTCGACCTACCTACATTGATAATACGAGGAACTAATTCGAGCCTTCAAGGAGGCATAATCTACGTATATCTCTCCTGACTAATCCACCGTTCGTACGAACAACCACTGTTCTAACTCTTCCGTCGTCATCTATTTCACAATCTTCAACTACTCCTAAGGGCCATTTTCCACGCGTCGATATGTCCGAAGCCACGATCACTACATCCCCTTTCTGAAAATTGCGGTGTTCAACTAACCACTTTTGACGTTTTTGTAGGGATGGTAAATACTCTCTTAACCACCTTTTCCAAAACACATTAGCAAGATGATTAACCTGTTTCCAACGTTTGTCATATTTATCTCTGATGCTACCTTCTTCGACTATTCCGTCACATTCTCTCAATAACAACAAACTGTTTGGCGACAAAGCTAGTTTATCGTTAGCATCTTGAACGACCGGAGTTAAGGGTCGATCGTTCAATATCCTTTCAATCTCAATCAAATAAGTGTTTAAAGTCTCATCGGTTAGAGTCTGCTCTCTAGTTATCAGCAATAACAGTCGGCGTATGGACCTAATCATCCTTTCCCAAACCTCACCCCTGTGGCTGGCTGAGGGCGGGTTAAAATGCCACTGAATCTGCCTAGCTGACAGTTCTTTGTCTATTTTCTGTTGATTCAACTGTTGCACAAATCTCCTTAACTCAGAGACCGCACCCACAAAATTTGACCCATTGTCACTGTAAATTTCTGCAGGTTTCCCTCTTCTTCCAATAAAACGTAGCAAGGCCATTATAAACGAATCAGTATTCAAACTGTGTGTCAGTTCAATATGTACTGCTCGGGTTTGCAAGCAAGTAAATATACATCCATACCTTTTTTCTAATGATCTTCCTCTCTTGACAACAAGTGGTCCAAAGTAGTCTACTCCCACGGCTGAGAAGCTATACCATCCTGGTTGAACTCTACAAGCTGGAAGCGGCGCCATCAACTGTTGCCCTGTATTCATCGTAAACCGCCGGCATGTCACACACATACCTATCACTCTCTTAACCGTGCTGGTTGCCTTCATTATCCAATACCATTTTCGAATTATAGCCAATACTTGGGACGTTCCTGCGTGCCCTTGTTCTAGTTGTTTTTGTAAGCCTTCTAAAGATATTCCATTGATGACATCTACTGGATCGACTGAATTACCCAAAGATTTACTCATTTTTTTGCCATGAGCATCACGAACCATAGCATGTAAATAGACCGTATGAAATGGTAATTGTCCCATTAATTTCAAACCAATCATAACCATACGTGCAACCGAGAAAAATATAATATCATGCCCAGTTTCTAATAAACTACCAGGATAATAAGCCTTTAAATCTGGTATTTGTTCAGGCCAACCAAATCCAGATAATAGAAATAGTTGTGAAGAGAACCACGTATCTAATACATCATTATCTTGGTTTAAAGTTAAGTTATCTGGTGAACAATGGAAATTATCACAGGCCTTTTGAAGTGCTTCTTCGATTGTATGACCAACTACCCATGAATTATGATCTGTAGGATCTAAAACTTCTAAATTATCTACGCCAGGACGTCGAATCGAAACATGACAAGCAGGAATATGATGTCCCCACCATAATTGTCGAGAAATACACCAATCCTGACAATCTTTAAGCCAATTATTCCATGTACGAATATGGAAACTATGAATAATACGTGAGCGGCCTTCAGATACCTCCTTCATTGCCGCATTAGCCATGTCCTTACAACGTAGGTACCATTGAGGTTTCAACAATGGTTCAACAATATCTTTGCTTTGAGAACACATCGGTACAACCACAGGATTATCTTTCTCACCTCTATACACGCCTAATTCCACAAGAGCTTTCTGAACAACATCTCGAGCGACGAATCTTTGAAGTCCTGCAAATCTGGGACCTGTTTGACGCATAAATTTTACCCAATTTGGCCACGCGGACTTGTATGGCTCGTTGAGAGGCTGATCCCAGCCTATTTGGGACTTACATAATTTTTGCAAGAGGACCTTGGCAGGAAGACAGACCGGAGCAATTAAACCCAAAGGATCGAACAGAGAAGAAACTATGAATAGAATCCCTTTCATAGTCGGAAGCCTTTCAATACCATTTGTATACTTGATATACAGAATGTCATCTTTCAACAATCTACGCTTCAAACTCTGTAGTCTACTGTTTGCCACTTCATAATTCCCCCCTCCCATATTTGGGTGCACTTTCCATGGTATAGGGACTCCAAAATGACCATTTACGAAGCGTGTGCCACCTTCCACAATCCTTATAGCCGTCTTGTCGTCTACTGATAATGATTTATCATTTGAATAAACATCAGAAAACTCTACATCATAAGGTTTACGTATTTCGTTCTCCAAAGTCTGTAATTTACTGGTATGATTAACTACTCTTTTCCTATATTCCGAACATAACGCAGGTCCGAAAACCGTCCACCCCAGCAACGTCTTCACAGCGTACGGGCTTTTTCTTCCGCCCAACCGCTGGTCTAACACCCAGTGTGCTTCTGGTATGTCGCAACCAATCAACAGTAAAACTTCTTCAGAGTCTAGGCTATCTATTGGTACATCACTTAAATGCGGCCACTTAACTAGGTTGTTCATTGCTGACTTTGTTGGCTTATGACCTGGTATACGTGCTACAATCAGAGCTCCTTCAATCGTAACATGTTCAGATCGATCTAAAGAATATACCTCGAAAGGCGCACTCGTGACCTTCATTGTTCTATTACCGCCCACAGTCTCAACTACCACTGATGCTTCGTCTTCGCTCAGCCCGAGAGACCTCAAACAGTTTGATTTTATCAGTGTCACATCAGAACCGTTGTCCAACAGAGCGTAACCCACAATCTCGGCTTTTCGCGATTTCAACCGTACGGGAATCATGCCTAAACACACTTGACTGATTAGTGATTTAGTATATCCGCAACAACTCGAGGTACCAGGTTTCTCACTCTCGCTGTGTAACAAAGAATGGTGTTTCCTTTCACAACCCTCAACGTTACAACGTTTTGCCAGCTTACATTCACTAACTTTATGCCCTTGCCTGAGGCAGACAAAACAGATGCCATTAACCTTCGCGTGAGACCATCTCTCTTGAACGGTAAGCGCTAAAAATTTTGGACATTTATAAATAGCATGGTCTAGGGAACACACACTGCATTTAGCTTTCTCTTTCGAATTATTCGCCTGCTCCAATTGCAAGTGACAATTTGTCTTTACGTTGTGTCCCTTTCTCGGACGATTCGCTAACCGTCCAAACCTACTATTAGCTACCCTCGCGCGGGATGCTATAAATTGTGTAAGCTCGTCAAAGGTTGGTTCTCTATTATCTTCAGTCAATTCATCTACCCAGTCCGCCCATTGGGCTTGCATAACTTGAGGTAAGAGTCCTACTATTCTCTCTAAGGTAATTAAAGAATTTAAGTCGGCAGTATACTTCATCTGTTTCAAAACCATAGAACAATTTTCCATCCTAATAGCTAGATTTGTTAGTTGCTCAGGATCACTGTAATCAACATTTGTAGTTTTGAATAAGTCCTCTAAAGTCTCCCGAGCGATTACATGCGCCTGTCCGAACAACCGTTTTAGAATTTCTTTGGCCTTTTTGTAACCAAAAGAGGCTTCCAACATAACACAACCCTCAATGGCTGTTTTCGCTTTACCCTTACAATAATGTATCAAATAAAGCAAGCGTTGACCATCATCCTTGACCCTTGATTCCACATAGGTCTCAAACTCCCTCAAAAACTTCCAGTAACCTCTTGGTTGACCGTCGAAATAACCTAACTCAACCTTTGGTAACTCTGGACCTATGAAAAACGCCGACGGCCTTACGTCTTTTGCTTGCTTCACGTCTAAATTAAGGTTTTCTATGCCATCTGACATTATATCACAACTAGATTCACTATAATTACAATCGTCCCTATTAGAATATGAACCATGACACATAGAAGCATCAGAAGGCACTTGCTTTGATTGAGGGGATCCATCCTTTTGTTCATCTCTTTTAACATCCACAAGCCTTGGACTTAATTTCCTTCGACGATTGTTTGGCATCGGAAGCGAACGACCAGATATTCCCAGAGACGATGATTGGAATCAACGAAACGAAAGCCAAACGAATTCGACCAAATATTTGTTTAGAACTGTAAGATCCAAACTACGTTTGGACTGCTGGACAGCTGTCTGGATGAGTTAGATACGCGCCCTCGCCCGATTGAAACCAAAACAAAGTAATTGGGTAAGATAGCGGTTCTATAATTTATCATAAATTTAAGTGTACATTATTACCTAAACAAATATAACCACTCAGCTATCCAACCAATAATTGTTTAATTGATCAACTCTAAACTATAATAAATAAGAACGTTGATAAAGGATGCAAGAAAATTACCAATCACCACAAATAAATGTTATTCTATCCTGTCTGGATAGATCACGTACAGATTCGTTCAAAAGGTAATACTTGGTCGCTCTATAACCCAGAGTGTTTTCAATTCTGGAAGAGTGCTTCAATTCACAACAAAAATGCACAGTCCCAGTCAACGCAGGTCAAGCAATCACAAACAGGAACAAACCAAAATGGCTGCCGCCAAGACTTAGTATAAAGTAAAACAACATAAGTGCAGTTCGGGAAGAAGCATAGGGAATTAGTGAAGGTGTGGTAAAAACGAAAACTATAATAAAATACAAATATTAACAATTCAACTGTAGTCAAAAAGTTAACATTGTACGACTAAAAGAATCAATAGGAACAAAGTGCAAGTATATACATGGAGGGATTTTCACGAACACACAAAGCATTCAAAATGGATCTTACACCGCACGAAAAGCATTCTCCACAGTTAAGGAACTGATCGCTAAAGCAACAATGCTTGCACATCAGGACACCCGAGTACCCAGTAGTTTAGCAGTAGACGCTACCAACTCAGCAATCGGAGGAGTATTACAACAATGTGTTAACAAATCCTGGCAACCCTTGGCATTTTTCTCTAGACGGTTGCTAGACACTGAATTGAGGTCCAGCACATTCGGTAGGTTACTCCTAGCTATGCATTGTTCTGTACGACATTTTCAACACTACATCGAAGGTCGTGAATTCACTCTTTTTACTGACCATAAACCACTCAACTTCTCTCTAAGTTCTACCTCAGTCAAGTAGTCTCCCCGTGAGTCTCGAAAACTGGACTACATTTCGCAGTTTACTTCAGATATTCAACACATTTCTTGGGCAAACAATTTAGTTGCAGACGCCTTGTCTCGAATAACTTCCTTGAACAGTTTCCAAGGAATCGACCTTCTGAAACTCGCCGAGCTTCAAAAAGAAGACACTGATTTTTGTACTTGGTAAGCAGAGTAAACATTCAAATATCCGCTGAGTGTTCTTAGTGCCGTAGAGCACGATAAGTGATTAGACGTTGTCGGACAAGAGTGCTATAATTCAATCCTACGTCTTGCAATGTCAAAGGTTAATATGCATTGCTTATCCATTTGTTGTATCACGAAATTCCTCGCCATATAAGGCCGTCCAAATAACTTCCCAGAAGTGCCTCATTGGAAAGCGATATATTCTTAAGGACTATGGGTGGTAGACCATCACTACTTACAAGTGGCTCTCTTTTAGTCTTTGCATAAACCAAGAGAATCGGTGATTCATCGCTACTTGAAACGAAAGCCTGTTGGTCGAAAGCATTGTCATTCATGTACGTAAGTTTTTAAAACATTTGAACTATAAATAAAACAAAAAAATAATATGAGACTTGACTAAGTGTTGTAAGTGGGAATAAGTAGGTAGCGTGACAAAAAACGTGTATTATACGATTAACACAAATAAGTAAAACACAATGAATATTGTCACAAATACTCCGGTTTCAGAGGCATAGTAGTAAATTAATTTTTGAAGTCATAAAAACATCAGTGCTAATAAAAACGTTCATAATAATTTTGTCTCTACATTACTAAAAATAGGGAGAAGTGAAATAGCCAATTGTCCATGTGTTATTGATGATAATACATGTATTCAGTTTTTGACAATGCTTTTACCAGCAACACCCAATATACTTTGTTCCCACCGAGAGAAATCAAAAGACAGAGTCGACGAGATCGGAAGAGTGTATTTGGCGATAACCAATATATCGGGAATCTCTGATCTAATCTGGCTAGCGATTGCGGTAGATGTTGAGCACAGCGTTACCACACGTGATCTGGTGCGGATGCATCACCGAGCGCCTTCAGCTAGATGAGTCCACTAAAACATATGGTCAGCATCCAATGTCGAAAACCTACAGAGCTATTTAGTTTGGGGATTTATTTACCGCTACAGATCACTCCTCCACTAGTGGGGCAGTGATGACCCTAAGACGTGGCCGGCCAGAAGTTTAAACCCAACGACTTGGTCGTTGGTAAACACTCTTCTGATAGCTTACTAATTTCAGCAGCGTCTGGTTGTCTCTCCTTACTATATGGGACCGAGGTACAACATAGTAAAAAAGGAAAAGTACAATAAAAATTCCGGCTCCTCATAAACTTCAACAATTGGTGTGAAGAGCTTTAAATTGCAAGATCACTAGATTTACGGATTTTGTTTATATTTTGCAAAGACCAATGAAAATTCAAATTTTCGAAGTAGTTAACTGACTTAGTTACTCACTACAATGGGAAACTATGCACGATTGTTGTAGTCTAGTTAAGAATTTCATATTCTCGGTACCATATAGAACCCATAGCTGAGCTATTCTATTACTGAGCAATAAAGCACAGGGATATATTGTTCATTATTCATTGACATCACAAAAGCATTAGTCTGCATCATCAACTTGATAAAAGGCCAATGTCAAAACCCAATATTCACCATTTAACCACCTTAAATGGCAAATATTTCTACACAGTTTGGCGTCCTAACCTATCTGGTGAAACTACTAAACTTTGTTTTATCATATTTCATATACAAGTCACCCTATTTTTGAGAGATAAAATAAACTTTTGGGGATCGAAATATGCCACATTTAAAGCGAAATTCAGCGTTTTGATCTTCGAACTCCCACACTGTTTTACGAGAAAGCAAATGAATTGATCACTGAGATGGTACCATAAACACTACACAGGTTGTAATAGACAATTATTATATGTGTTCTTCTGCACTCGAGAACTGTAAATCATAGGTAAATCCAACTGTGTTTTAAGCTTTCCACGTCTCTTTAAAATAATTATGAACTATATATTTAGGATGATTACTGCCCATAATCTTGTTACTTTGTACGCGTTAAGCGCACAATTATTAAAGATACACAGGTGACCTCATTACGAGTTGAATAACTTAGCTAAGCGACTTAACTGAGTTTTCTGTATTCTTTAATTCGACAAGACGAACCCATGTTAGTGACAGAATAACTTATTGATGAAAAAACTCAAATTAAAACTTGCTGTAAAATCCCAATAAATATACATTTATTACTGTTGGTGATTTCAAGGGATTTTAAGATTTTTTAGTCCTAGTGTGGGATGAAATATCCGTCTGTTCTCAATGGTTCTCTTATTAAGTTTTGATGTAAAGTGTGAGACATACTAGCTCAATGTACGCGTTAGTATCTTTTAACTACAATATGGATCTATTTAATATAACGTCAAGTAATATGCATAACTTTGAATGGGTTAGTTTGGATCTTGAAATGCTTTTATTTTAATCGTAGCTTGAATTTCGCAAGTTATTAAACTACTTATTTGGTGAGGTTTGTTCTGGGTGAAATTTCCTGAAACATTCATCGACGAATAGTCAGCAATGTGTTGAATTAACTACATACAAAAATAGAAATAAATAAGATCAACTGGTGTCTCAAAAATAAATCCAATCTGAAAATGATTTTCAAGGAAGGAGGATAAATAATAAAGTTGCGATGGTTCAATGATAATACTTTGAGATCATGAATCAGCACTTACGTGTTCCGTCACTATTGCATTTAAACACAAGGCCCACAATCGTGCGCGACAACCCAGTGGGCAGCCACGACGCAAAAGCTGTTGTGCCCGTTCAGAAGAATCAAGACTTATGACTGGTATTTTGAAGAAAAGAAAGTACGAATTAAATTCAACAAGATAACTAAAGTGTACCTTTTTTAGCTTCATGTTCATGTACTAATTCAAAAGTAGACGGCAATGAGTCGTCAACACCAATTTGAGGATTTTTGATATGTAACGGTTCATAAAACTTTCTCTAGATACTGTAAACAATATTGTGAATCGTGAACATACCAGATCGGACAAATTTTTAACATTTATAGGCAAATTGATTAGACCCCAAGTTGCAATCACTGCTGAATTATAACTATTGAAAAAGGAAATGATTGTTCCAGTATGATATACAAAAGGCTTACTCTTTAAATGTGGATCTCACTTGTGGATGTTTAATACTTGTAAGAACATCTAAAAGATCTTTTGGACCAAAGACTGGCTTAATAACTGATTGTTCTTGACACATCAATATGGAATACGGAATTATTAGTTAGGAAAAATAGCATGACTTTACTGTTAAAAAATACTGATAACTCTGTCCAGTTTTGTAGAACAGCTTCCTTATGACCTTTCGATCTCTTTTAAAAGGAGATAAAACCGTAAAAACCATGTTGCTATTCTACTAACTTTTCTTCCTAGAGGTATTCCAAGCTCTTGACACATTGAATTTAGACTTCGTAACATTTTGCGCTCCCAACTAACCTGAAATAAAGTCAGTTAAATCACTCTCGAATCAGTGAAAATGACACACCTGGGCTTTTTTCAAATAACTACAGCAGCATGAGTTGTTTAGATAATGTTCATTTGCAATATTTTGTTTTAACTGCAACAAGATGGTAGGCTTGTGTGTAAACACCCAATTTTTAAGAGCTTGGAAGCTATCACCTTCTAACAGCAACTCGCATACATGATCAATTTCATTGCGAGATGCTCCTTTGAGATCATCAAGAAGTAACTGTAGATAGTTTTTTTAAGAAAAGGTTTCACTTTGAAAAGAATTTTAACATGAGGTTAAGCATGAAAATAAATAAATAATAATTCACACTATGATCCAAACAACCCAACATTTTCAAAGGCAACGTTCATTGCATTCAACCAATTATTGGTATGATATAAATAAAGAGTTGGATTTTTATATAAGAACTTTCGTCTAAATTTCATCGAATAGTTTCACAGTATTTGGCGCCGAGTCGATATGAAACATTAAGGAGAAATAATGTGTTTGTGAAATCTCATCAAATGAATTTGAAATAAATCTAACGTTTCACCTGACAATCTGATTCAGGTTTTTTTCACGGAAATATATTCAAACAACAAAACTGTTGAATACAAATGAGTACATTGTTCTCTGGTAAACCGTATAGGAAACAGGACATCCAATCGTTTTAACAGATACACTCTTTCAGAATTGGATCAATGAAAAAATTGCTAACTTAGCAATACACAGTGTTTTAAAATAAGACCTGTCACTTCATCCGATACAAAAGTAGCTCTATATTGTGTACATAGTGATGAGATAAATGAACCAAGACTACGTTAGATAAGCTAAGCGAGATAGTGAATGAAGACGTATTCAGTTCATGGAATCGATGTTTACAAAAACAAGAAGCAAATAAAGATCATGAGTTCTGACAACTCAAGGCTATTATAATTCATCATAGCATGCTAAATATTTTGCGTTTGAATGAGTCATCAACTTGCATTTGGGGACAAAAGGAGTCCAGACAACAACTGAATAGACACTGTACATTAGATTCATTCCTCGAAGTCACAAAGCATTAGTCGATCTGTAGTCATCAGAAATCAATCTGAGTAAAGTAAACGTTCGTACTAGTGTTGGGAATGCTAAGTTCCAAAATATAATTTATCATAGAAAGGTAAATCTTCTTTGGTCTCTCTTAATATATTCTATTACCGATGTTATCTTTTTGAGTATTTGGATCTAGGGAAGAAGAGGGTTGTTGTAATGGTGATTGGAGTTTGTTAGGTTTATTGCTGTTATGATGCAAAGGTAATAAAAACTTACAACAGTAAAAAATAAATCTATTAGTTATAACTTTGTAATGTCTATCCATACAGTCGTACTTCCTAATCGAAGAAAGGGGATAGTAAATACATGAATGATTTAAATCAACTAAAAATAATTTATACGAATATTCGTCAATATTTGAACGAATAGTTTGACATACATGACTAACTTACTTACCAGCGCATCATCCAACAAATTCAATTCTATTCTACTACACTTTATGGCTTTAAAGAGCTCACATATCATAATCTCCCGATTGATAACAAGGTGATCATACATATTTAGACGAATCATCAAGTAAAACGCTGATAAGCGCTTTTCCAATAGCTCTCAATTATCACAAATATGACTAGTTATTACAAGTTAATTTAAAATGGATGAATCAAATTCTAAAATTGATCAAAGAGACATTTAAGAAAGTGAATAAAAAGTAATGATTATGAAAACACAAATTAATGGTATATTTTTACAATAAGAATTCTTATTGTCCATTAATGGACAGGAAGGAAATCATCTTAATAAAAGTACACAGCATGTCAACTTTTCGACACATATTCAACAAAGTATGAGTACTTTTTACACTACATGGCATAAACTCTGCAAAATTAACCCGACATCATCAAAAATTACGAAAGAAATTGTTTACTAATAATCGATAATAGAGATCTAGAAATTTCTAGATTTTTGTTATTGAATGGGATAAACCTCACAATATAAAACGTTCATTTGTGAAGCAGAATTCAGAAGTCAGCAACGATTAGCAAAGATACAGACCTGAAGTAAACAAAATCTGGCAATGATGCCTGGGCTCCCAATATGAAACACCTGTCTTGCGGTTTTAGACCGGCCTGAACGACGTTCGCGTTCAAGTAGAAGAGGCGTGCAAAGTGGCGTACGTGAGTAAATGTTTATATGATAGGAACGATAGTTCTTCTTTTAAGATAACCCAAGTAGGTCGATAACTCAGCAAACTCATTAGGTGCACATAGTGTCACATAAAAAACAACCGACTATTATAATCAATAAAAAAGAGTGGTGCAAGACAGTTCACCGAAACTAGCCTTTAATAAGGTAATGTTCATGACGCGTTACAACTGGACATTTTGAAGTGGTTAAGCAGCTCTTGTAACTACTATCATAAAAATGTAGAGCGGATAAACAAAACATCTTTTAAATTCGTGTACCTGAATGAAGATAGAAAATCATACTTCTGCAATTCTTCTGCTTTATTTGAGATGTGAGAGAGCTCCATAATCAGAAATGGAGCTTTTTATTATCGTAACACTATCGTGAACCGTGAATAGAAACCTGATGTTCCTCATAACCCTAGATGTTGACAACAAAATCGCTTCCAATACTTGTGTTAGCCGATAACGCAACCTACTCTCAAATATGGAGATACAACCTAATATAGATGTTGATTGATTATACACTAAAATTTTTAGCTATGCTTAAGTTTATTTGCATTTCGTTGCATTTATGTGTGTAAAGTTCACCGGATACCCTCATTTGAATTTTTCATAAACAATGGTTTTCACATTAGCGTTATTGAAATCTGTTGAATTAGTCCTGTTTTCACACTCAGACTCCATCGACTTACGTTTCTTCGATGAAACTGGGGAATTCTAAGAGTTATAAATGGTGACAGTTCCTTAAAATGGCTGGTTGCTGAAGAGGAGGGTAAGAACGCTAGAGTGGTTACATAACGAAATGATCCACACTGGTGGAGCTGAACAGGATATGTACAAGAAGAAGTTTACTATGTACTAATGAAGTCTAGGTGATTTTAAACTATGATAAAACTTTAATTAAAAATGGAACTGTCTCCTAGCATGTAGAATCTGTATTTGTGTACAAGTGAGTAATGTTGATTTATCAACTGTTTTGTTCTGATTGAAGCCACACTAATTTGCTGTTCTTCAAATTCTGTCATTCAGTTGATTTCATCTACCTATTCCTGGCGAATAGAAATAGAGTTCTTTCCCGGCGTACACATCCATTTAGGCGTCCTCATCCCACGTAGGCTGTGGCTCCCTGATATTTTCCCTGCTACCTTGCCAGAGGTTTATTAGCGAGTCATTTTTGTATTACTGTAGGCGAAAAGATGCGTTCCACATTGAAGTTGTCAATATTACCCGTCCCATGAATGGCCAACAGAAACAATATCTTGAGGAAAACAACACCAAAATGTCTACGTCCGTTGCTGTTTGTAACACCGAGTCGCAAACTGCTGAACCTCTTGACACATATACTCTGTTTTAAGACCTTCGATGTGACGAATCTCATGGAACTACCTAGAAAACTAATGCATGAAACTTATTGCCAGACATGAGAATGCATATGATTAATTCGTAGTGTTCGTTCGTCTTGACAACTGCTTCGTTCTTAATGGGCATCTGATTTGAATTCCAAATAAGCTATCTATAAAAATGTTGCGAACATTCAGTGTTTGAAAGCTCTTTCGCTTATAAAAAATCAGCAATTCCAGACCACAAACTTATTCGAATCAGAATTCAGGAAATGAGGATCTCAAACGTACAAATTGAAAGGAACCATATAGAAAATCATACAGTGGCTACTTGTTGCGGGGGTAAATTAGTGTGGTGTACCGAACTTTTACCTAGTGTGAACGCACGAGTGAACGCTTCTAGCTAATGTGTGTTCAGCAATACTTGGCGGTTTGTTACAGTGCTGGAGAATTGCGATACTACTTGCTTTGAGAATTCGTTTCTGCCCGATGCCAACTATTTATAGGTCTGTGAAACTGCAACAGCTTAGGTTGGTTGGTTAAAAGTTCACCTCAAACAACTAAGCATATGTCAAAACAGTATAGTTCAAGTATTCATTCACTTCCTTGTTTTGTATAGGCGTTATATTTCCTATTATCTTATATTGAATGTTGAGAGGATTTGTTTGTCTGAACCAATAACCCCACGCTTCACTGTGACTACCTGAAGATCTAAATAAAGACCTATTCACTACTTGCCTGGTTTCTTCTATCAATAGCACGAGGGTTATCTAGAGGCACAAAAAATCTCTATGTTCTTTCACAGAGCACCATTTAGGCCGGTTACAGTCTAAAAACATAATTTCACCACATTTGTCAAATATTGTGAGTTACATTGTGATAGTAAATACTATCATATTCTACGTTTCTAATCTAAAAGTTTTCATAAGAACGCTACTTCTCCTAGTAGGCTCTAGTAGAGCCAATATTGATGTTATAGCTAGTTCACTTCAAATCAACGGTAAAACACCTAGGTTTATGATAAAGAACTTTGAAGGATCCTTCGTATGTAATTTACAGAGGTTATCGTTATGAGTCGCGGCACACGAGCGTTGTGCACTATGTCGTAAGGCAGGTCAATTGAAAAGATCAGTCTATTGCGGTTGAGTGAAAACAGGATTAAATAAACTCTTAGTGTCTGCGAGCCTGTTCGTGTTGGCGTTTAGATACACGCTCTCATTGGGGAAGGTAAAGGATCCCCAAATTTTCCTAGAAGTCGGAGTATGGTTCCATAAACGAGTTGAAGTGCAATGTATCCGATTTCAGTTTTCCCTGCATTGCGAATAAAGAGTAAAACAAATGGTCTGTTCATTGTGAAAACTTTTCATCTGAGAATAGAGCCGTTAACCGTCGGTCAAATCGATATTAAACCGTTCAGCTTGTAGATGGCGGGCGGTCGTTCAGAACCATGGGTTTCCTTGTAACGTACAAGAACAAATGAAATGTCAAGATTCGAATTGTTCTGTAGGGTTGGTAGTGATGCTTGAGGGGTTTTGTAACTTGCTACACATCTTTCGATGAAATTGCAGGTCAGTGATTCGGAACTAATGTATTTGATGGGTACTGGTTCTCGTCGCCCCATAAAACGATCCGCACACTTTAAGAAGTGAGAATGTAAATTACATACGAAGTATCCTTCAAAGTTCTTAACATAAACCTAGGTGTTTTACCGTTGATTTGAAGTGAACTAGCTATAACATCAATATTGGCTCTACTAGAGCCTACTAGGAGAAGTAGCGTTCTTATGAAAACTTTTAGATTAGAAACGTAGAATATGATAGTATTTACTATCACAATGTAACTCACAATATTTGACAAATGTGGTGAAATTATGTTTTTAGACTGTAACCGGCCTAAATGGTGCTCTGTGAAAGAACATAGAGATTTTTTGTGCCTCTAGATAACCCTCGTGCTATTGATAGAAGAAACCAGGCAAGTAGTGAATAGGTCTTTATTTAGATCTTCAGGTAGTCACAGTGAAGCGTGGGGTTATTGGTTCAGACAAACAAATCCTCTCAACATTCAATATAAGATAATAGGAAATATAACGCCTATACAAAACAAGGAAGTGAATGAATACTTGAACTATACTGTTTTGACATATGCTTAGTTGTTTGAGGTGAACTTTTAACCAACCAACCTAAGCTGTTGCAGTTTCACAGACCTATAAATAGTTGGCATCGGGCAGAAACGAATTCTCAAAGCAAGTAGTATCGCAATTCTCCAGCACTGTAACAAACCGCCAAGTATTGCTGAACACACATTAGCTAGAAGCGTTCACTCGTGCGTTCACACTAGGTAAAAGTTCGGTACACCACACTAATTTACCCCCGCAACAAGTAGCCACTGTATGATTTTCTACCGTAAAACACCAAAAACAAATGCGTTGTAAGTTCTTTACAGTACGGTACAGTTTATTTTGGAACAGGCTGCCAATGCCTATCCGTAATTGTGATACGTTTATCAGATTCAAAAGGCTAATAACCCTATTTCTAGACTCCAAAGAGCTTCAACATTTCCTTGAACTCCCGCCCACCAATGAGGCACTTTATTACGGACCGCCTAGTATCTAGAAAGAACAAAATTATAACAAGTCCGACTGTTACTAATATGAATATAACCAAATCACAGAACATATGGCTTATCCTTTCCTATTATTAATTGTTTATTAATCATGACTTCATGCTCCTAACCCTAGCTTTCAGTTCCCAAATCTCTACAGGTTAAATGTACATTATTCTTCCTAAAAGTCATGCCTTTTTTTTTATTCCACTGCAAGTAGACAGATAGCTCAATCTTATGAATGCTGATCTACTAAGGCCGACCATTCAAAGTTCAAAATTTGGCCACAACGTCTTGTGAGTTTCTCAATGTTTTATTTGTCTTACCCTGAAATTTTTTTTCTACGATTTTATACCCTCTCATATCTTTTGATTTGCTATTAGTCCTTACTTCTTTAAACCATTAGTTATTTTCATAGCAGTGTGATATACTATGTGGACATCTA